CCCAGGTGTAGCAAGCTGGAGAACAAGGCCTGTGTCCTGGAAAGCAGAGCTGAAATGGGGCACCTCGAACTGCTCTAGGGGACCCATGGCTCCTGGACTTTTTGGAGTCTCTCTTATTTCATAAGCCTAAATAGCCAGGTTTCTGTAACAATAAAAGAATCCTGACGTATGTATACTTCCAGATGGATGTTTATCCTTTTTAGAGACGGGTCTTGCTCATTGCCCAGGCTGGAGTGCAGTGGTACGGCCATGGTTCCCTGCAGCCTTGACCGCGCGCTCATGGGCGGCATTCCCACTGCCACGCTCAACACTCTGTTTCCTGGGCCACCTCTTGTCTCCTCACCCCCACATCTCCCATGCTGCCTCCTCTCCCAACACCAGCCTCCTTCCTTGATCTGTGCTGTAGATCTAGGGCATCACAGAACGCAGGCTTCAGAGGACTCACCAGAACACACTGAAGGGTGACAAGTGCACGGCCCTTGTGCTTTAGCCTGGCCGGCACCTGCTTCCTGGTAGGTCTGGCTCTAGTACCCCAGTGCTCAGGCCCACACCCTGATGCGACATTCAGCGGGTGTGCTGATGCACTGCTGGTTGGCTGCCATGCTGTGATTCATATTAGAGATGAGCAGGCGCCCGGCCTTGTGTCTACATGTCATGTTCGCAAAACTGCTCCTTGGCTGGAGCTTGGGAACAGCTCACAGCTGCATAGGACACTTGCTCAGCTTCAAGTCCCAGCCGTGCCACTCACGGGTGATGCGACTTTTCTCAAATCACCTTAGCTCCTCTGGCTGGCATCAGTGCTGTGTTGTGTGAGTGGGGATGATGACAGTGCCTCCTTGACAGGATACTGGGAGGATGCATTAATAAACACAAAACACGTGGAATAGTTCCTGGCAGAGTGCCTAGCACTTTCTGGCCAGGGTTAGTGCTCAGAGACCAGTGGACACAGACCAGGCCCAGAGTGGATCACGGCCTCCCTGCGGGTCTTAAGCATGTCCTTGTGGGCACTTCCCAGAAGTAAATGGCTGCAGACAACCTTTAACCTGATTTGCCTCATTTTCCTGGTGTGTGAATCCCACTACACATAAGCAATGTCTGCCCAAGACATAGATATGCCTTATAGTTGCTAGAAATGCAGTCAGAAATTGTACAACTTGTTGAACTCTTTAGTCTTGGATGCTGCTTGAAAAAGGAGGCCATGAAACTTGGATAACCTGTCGAGGATTTTATCCTAAGATCTGACTCAGGCATGATATGGAGGTAGCACCGTATTCCATCAAAAAGTGACGTAACACTGTACTCATAGTTTCTATTAAGGATGACTGTATCATCTCCACCAGTCCTGGAGAGTGAGGCCCAGCCTGTGTGTGGGGCGCAGTTTGGCTCTGCTGCCTACCCCGGGACCTTGTGTGACCTCACTCCCTTGCACTTTGGTCTCCTCATCTGGAAAACAGGGTCAGTAATGGCACCCTCTTCACATCCTTGATGTGAGGACTAAGTAGGGAGCACATAAGCACAAAAGCTGAGACCCAGGAAGAACTCAGGCAACAGGAGCGGTTACTGTTGTGCAAGAAAATGCAGCCTCCCATGCCAGTGGACTTGAAAGCTGATTAACAGGCAGCTTTGCCAAGGAATTGCTGGTGAGTAATTTTAAAAATCTGACCTCCCTTCCATTCCCTGCTTTGTACGAGGATTTGTGAGAATGGCAGGGACTTGCATCATTTTGCCAAGATGACAGGTGACTTCTGTCTCCCTGTGTCAGGGTTGACAGGTCTCTGCCTTGGTGTGTTTCAGTGTCTTTGGTGCTCAAGCATTCAGCATGTTCTATTGAAATTCACCATTCAGTGTGAAAATCTTATTTATGCTTAGGGCTACATGTCCATCTCCATAAAAAAAAAAAATCTGATCAGATTCAAGGGCAAGATACAACTTTCTAGGACAAAAGGCAGAGGTTCCTCTCATGTGCGTGTAGAAAACTCCTTCCTTGGACCACACATCTCCTGGGCCGGCATCTACCAAGTGGTACAAGGTGGTTCCTCCCATAAGGTCTGTCCTCAGCAGGTGTGAAGGTTAAGTGATCTGGACAGTGTCCCATGGGAACTGAGAGGGAGGGAAGAGGTGGGGAAGAGGAGGAAGGGGGGACAGCCTCAGGCCCACGGAAAGGCTGGGGTTTCCTCAGAAGTGGCAGTGAAGCAGTGTCCTCTAGGACATTGGGGCCTGGTGTCATCAGTCCCATTATCAGGGAGGACCAGAGGGGTAGACGGCTTACTGTGTCTGTCCTCGTGCTCTTGGTTAACTTCACTTCCCACACGTGCTGCTGACTGTGCCCAGAACATGCTAGTGACCCTGCCTGCCTGACTGGGTCGTGCCCTCTGTGCCTAGGCCCGGGCGCACCTCGGTAAGGCGTGCAGGACAAGACTGCAGTTGGGAGTCAGGCCTGGACACCCGCTGAGTGCAGACTTCTTGACCATGGACTTCCCTGCCTGTGATTTCATGTTCTCTCCCCAACTCATCTCACAGAATTGCCTCCATTTCCAGAAGGGACCCGTCCCCACAGGGTCTAGAGGGCACCACTCTGAGTGTGTCGGCGGTCCAGGGCTGGCTTGGGCCGAGTTCAGAAAGTGAAAGCAGCCTTCAGAAACATTCACAGCAACCTGGCAGTGCTGTGGCATACAAGCACCTGACTTTGTATGCTGAAAAATGATCCATCCACAGTGGAGTGGGGACAATGTGGCCATGTCCTCAGATTCAGCTTTCCACATACTGGGGTCTTGGCCACCCAGAGCAGGGCAGGGGCTGAGCGAAGGGCCGGAGGGCTGCTGACCTGGGTGCGAATGCTGGGGAGGAGTGTTTCTAGGAGCATGACTTTGAGCTCGTGAACCTGTTTCCTTCAGGAAAATGAGGATGATCCCAGTGACCTGGCTGTCAGAGCAGCAGTAGACCCAGTCCCATGGGTGGCTCTGAAGCTTCAAGTGTGCTCACATGACCAGGTGCACGGCAGCCCTCTGCAGAGCGTGTCAGGACACCACATGCATCTTACAGTTGGGGACCAGGGCACGGCGATGTCAGATGACCTGGTCTCCACTGCACAGCAGGTGAGTGGTGGGGCTGGGGTTCAAACCGGGGCCACCAACTCCAGCTCTGACCTTGACTTTCGCTCCCCGCCCGCCTCCTTGTGGAGGGATGTGGGTAGGATAAACCATGTACCGGTGTGACCCCCGTGACTTCAGCTGTGGCCTCGCTGTTATCACCTTGGCCAGTTGTTGGTGGCTGTTGTGAGGATGCCCTGCTGCCGCCTGGAGCTCATACTGCCACTGCCCCAGGATGGGACCACTATATGAGTGAGAGTCACAGGTCCTTTGCCTCAGTACCTTGGACACACAGAGCAAACTGCTGGGCCAGTCCCACCACGTTGGCTTTTCCTCCCAGCCCTCAGGCCTCCCCTTTTCCCTTCAAGGCAGCTGGGAGGTGCCCCATTCTTCAGGAATCTCCGTGCATAAAACAGAAAGCAGTTTCTCGCTGGAGGTGGGGGCGACCCTGAAACCCCTCCTCTCCTCCACCCACCCCTGCCTAGCCCTAAGCTTCCCAAGGCACCTCTGGAAGACCCCAGGCCTCTGAGGAACCAGAGTTTGAAAGGCTTAAAAAAAATATCTGGGAGGCTGAGGTGAGTGAATTGCCTGAGCCCGCGGGTTCGAGACCCGCCTGGGCAACTTGGCGAGACCTATCTCTATAACAAACCCAAAAAACTAGCTGGGCGTGGTAGAGTGCGCCTGTAGTTCCAGCCACTTGGGAGACTGAGGCGGAAGGACTGCCGGAGCCCAGCAGGTCGAGGCTGTGGTGGCCGGGAGCGGCCACTGCACTCCAGTCTGGGCGACAGAGTGAGACTCCAACTAAAAAAAAAAAAATCTTTCAGACCAGGTGCGGTGCCTCATGCCTGTAATTCCAGCATTTTGGGAGGTAGAGGTGACAGGATTGCTTGAGCTCAGGGGTTTGAGAACAGCTTGAGCAGCATGGCAAGACCACATCTCTACAATAAATAAATAAATAAAAATTAGCCAGGCATGATGGCACACTCCCGTGGTTCCAGCTATTTGGAAGGCTGAGGTGGAAGGATCACCTGAGTCCAGTAGGCTGAGGCTGTGGGCACCTTGTAGGGTTTTTTCCAAGTGAAATAACCATGTGCTCTTGTATGATTCTATGAGTTGTCTTCTCTGGACATTTCTGGGGACAGAAAAGACTCATTTACCCCAGGCAGGGGGCTGGGCCCAGGGGAACCTGTCTTTAGCAGGGAGGCGGCCTGCAGGGTGCTAAGAGGGAAGGGTCAGGCTTGTGAGTGGACGGCTGAAGCCACTGGCAGCAGCAGAGTGGCAGGATCACAGCTCATGTCTGCAGGGTCACCAGACTCCACAGAGGCTGCAGCAGTACAGTAGCTGTGCAACGGATCCCAGGGATGTCCGCACACTCGCGGGCAGCAAGCCCAAGCGACACACTCAGCAGGCCTGAGGGCGACCATGTTCTTCACGGAAATGCTCTGGTGGAAGCAAGGGAGCCTCCAAGATGGGAGTGGATGCCCAGCAAGGCAACCTTCCAAAAGCCACCACTACCACAGGGCTTTTTGCATCACTGAGTATTTTATATCTTTGTACAAGCTGAGCATCCCTCATCTGAAAATCCAAAATCCGACATGCTCCCAAGTCCGACAAGGTTTGAGTGCCAACATGACGCCCTCAAGTGGAAGATTCCACCCCTTACCTATGTGCTGGGTCACAAACGGTTTCATGCACACAACCTCTAAAAGTTTTGTATAAAATCACCCTCGGGCTATGTACATAAGGAACATATAGAACATAAATGAATCTTGTGTTCAGATGGGGTCCCATTTCAGGTACTTCATTATGCATATGCAAATATCCCCAAATCCAAAAGAAAACCCAAATCTGAAATACTCTGGTCCCAGTCCCAGGTATCTCACAACAGCCACTCACCTGCCTACATTCTTTTTAACATGGTGAAGTTTAATAGTTTTCTTTTTAAAGCATATAAGAGTGAATTAAGAAAATAATACTTTTTTTTAGTGAGAATGCAATCATGGCCACGAAGAGTACAACCAACATCCACGTTCATAAGAGTGAGGTCTGCAGAGTTCTGTGGGTGCAAGTGAGGCTTTCAGGGAAGTGACACCCAGGATGAACGAGACAGGCGGTTTCTGGGGCTCAGCATCTTGCACTTAAGATTCACAGTGCTTTCGGGTCCTCAGGAGGGCACCCACATATTCCCATGTGTGTCTGGTGCTTTGACATAAGGAATGTTCCATACCCACGGTCGATCTGGGGAGAAAGCACATCACATGTCACACAACAGTTACTTGAACAGGATCACAGAGGTTCCCTCCCCGAAAAGACAGAAGCATGTGTGTGCTCAACTCTAGCCTGTGATGAGCACTTTGGAATCAAGCCCCAGCAACACTCCCTTTGGACAACAGCTTCTAGCAAAGGCTACCATGAGGACACAAGGGGGGATGGGGGAAGAGACTGTGGGGAAGCAGCCAAGTTGGGCCCAGGGGCAAATTCTGGTGCTGCCATAAGACCCCCCACCAGCAAGACCCGTCTCCTCATCTGCAACCATGCTGGCAGGTAAATCCATGAAGTGAGTAGGACACAGTGCCTGGTGCAGGGAGCAAGCCCATGGGGGGCAGCCATTCTGCCCTCTTTCCAGGAAACGGAAGAAACCCACAGTAAGTAGTTGAGACAGGACTGGTTCTGTACTCAGCCGAGCACACAGAACCAAGACACCAGAGTCATGCCCAGGAAGTGTTTGTTCTGTTGTTAAGTGTTAATAATCGATGGGACACTCAAGTTACTGGCGAAACAATGCAGCCACTGTTGGAGAAGGCCACATGCCCAGGCCGGGTGCAGTGGAAAGAATGCTGTAGATCTGAGCTCAGATCCCACGACCATCCCTCTCTGCTCACCATGTCCTGGCCTCAATGTCCTTCTCTGTAAAATGGGAATGACATTAGCAACTGCTGGGATCGCCGTGGAGCACACATGAGAACATCTGTGAATGTTCCTGACATGGTGCAGGTGCTCAATAAATGTGAACTCTTCTTTCTTCATTCAAGGGATGTTTCAGAAATTGCAAACATTTCGGTACCTCATTTTTCCCATATGTTGCCATTGCTGGAGTCAAACCACAACATGGGTAGGCTGTGGATCCATCACAAGGATTAAAGACAAAGCCTCACAGTACAGTTCTGAGTAGTGCAGACAGAAGAACCCGGAAGGCTGGAGTGCTTGCTGCCAACTGCCCCTCAGTGGGTCCAGGATGGACGGCCAGAGCCAAGCAGGGTCTCAGAACAGCACACACCTCTGGGGCCTTCCTTCTCTGAACAGAGGCAGGTAGCAGCTCAGGGCATGCAGCACGTGCCCTTGGCTTCAGCTATACTTTGACCCTTCCCTTGGTCTCAAGACACCCGGCAGCCTGAGCCATCAATGTGTTCATAGCAGTCTCAGCTAAGTTTTTTGTATTGTCTTCTGATAAAAAAAGAACACTGAACAAGATCTTTATGTGTCACAGTGGCTTGAAAATCACTTAAAAAAATTATGGACTTTGCAGCAACCTGGATAGATTTAGAGTCTATGACATTAAGTGATTTATCTACCACAAAGAACTGAGTGTCACATGTTCTCACTCATAAGCAGACCCTAAACATTTACCATAAAATTGTGAGAAAGGGATTGGCAGTAGCCGGAAACTGCCAATGGAAGGTGGCGGGGTGGGGGTGGGTGTAGGCGGGTAGGCACATAACATTAATAAGGGTACCTGACCTCAAACCAGGAAAGTGGGGACCAAAAGGTGGGGCCCAAACTTTACCTGTACGATGACCACTTGTGTACATAATCCTGACTCGTACCCCACTTCTTTAGAGTAAAATAAATTAAAAAATAATAATAATAAATAAATAAGAAAATAACTTTTAAGATGAAGTGCTTTTGAAAGGCCCTTAGCCACTCACTTTTCTACATCTTGGTATTAATAAATGCCTTTCAACAGTCTACACAGCTCCTTGGCATGTTGGTTACATATGAAAGGAAGACATCTGAATTACTGGCATTACTCTCCATGCTACTGCAGCGGTGTGGAAGATAATATAATACCAGTATAAAATGAAATGTGCTAGTCTCTTTTGTACGAATCTTTCAAGGAAACTGCCCAAGAAACAAAAGACTCATCTGAACATTGGAAAGCATTCTGCTTGCTGTCCAAACACCAGGGCCTAGGGAAGGTGAGCAGAGGGTGAGCGAAGCAAGCTTCATCTGTATTTACAGCTGCTCCCACTGCTCGCATGATTGCCGAAGCTCTGCCTTCTGTCAGATCGGCGGTGACATTAGATTCTCATAGGAGCATGAATCCTACTGTGAACTGCGCATGGGAGGGACTGAGGTTGCATGCTCCTTATGAGAATCTGATGTCTGATGCTCTGAGGGTGAACTGAGGCGGTGAAGCCAGCACTGGAGCAGCTGCAAATACAGAGGAACACGAGCAGTGAGGTTTGACTGCACAGAGACCACAATAAGTGAGTTGCTTGCAGACTCATCTCAAAACCCTGTCAGTGAGTGGCAAGAGAGTCGATGTACTTCAACTGTACAGTTACATCTGGTGGCAGGCTTTAAGTCAGGATCCGACACTTAGTTTAGTCTATGTGTGACCCACCCATTATTTTACTTACCACTTTTGTCTGCACCTTTTTTAAATGGTGAGTTGTATAATTATTTCATTATATATTACAATTTAAAGAAATAAAGATAAATGTGATATATTTTGAATCACCCCAAAACCATGCCCCCACCCCAGTCCATGGAAAAACTGTCTTCCGTGAAACTGGTCCCAGATGCTGAAAAGGTTGGGGACTACTGGCCTCAGACCTGACTTCTCAATTCTCGAGAATGCTTTTGCTATCTTGGGACACTTTTCAAGGCTGTTCTTCCTCTTCCATTGGGCTTTCATCCTCCCCTGAAGATTAGGATTAAAGGGAGGGGCGGAATCCAGCTGGGGCTCAGGGCTGGGGTGGGAAGTCAGGGTCCGGGGCCAGACCCCAGCAGATCAAGCCCAAGGCAGTCATGGTGAGTCCCCACCTCTTGTGGGTTTAATCAGGAGAATTCAGGCTCAACAAACAAGAAAAAGAATCTGGAAAACAGAAAGGGAGAAAAGTGTAGCACGAAGCCAGAGTGGGGGAGAGGAAGTTATGGGCAGGTCCAGGTACAGACCCTGCACGAGCTTGGATGTGCAAGTCATTGGCTCACCCAGGCACCAGGAGAGTCACATGGATTCAAGGTCTGTTGTGTGCCAGGTGAACTAGATGTTTTAATAGAAAAGCAGCTCATTCTGACTGGCTGCTCACTCTGAGCTGGGCCTTTGTGGATGTCTCAGTTAACCTCAGGGGGGTATCATAGCTCCTCGATTTGCAGAGAGACACCAGGGTCTAGGGAAGGTAGTCAACCACCTAAGGATCCTGAGTAAGTTGTGGAGTCAGCACACAAACACGGCCTGGTTTTCAAGCAGGGTTCTCTTCCCCGCTTTTTGGTGGCAGATGGGACAGTGACAGATTCCTTGAGATTCAAATAAAAGCTACACAATGTTGCTAGTGAAAAAGGAATCTGCATGAATACATGACACATTTAGAGGATCCGCTAGGACACCCCTGCTTTGGAAGGAGGAAAGAAGGCCTTTGAAACTTAGTATCAACACGCCTGATTAAAGAAACATAAGGTCGCTTGCAAGGGGCTGGACGGCAGGAGACAGGACCAACTTTGTCAGATGTGTTGACACACTCTAAGAGATGGGGCAGTCCAAGGAGGAGGTGTGGCTCGCAGAGCTGAAAGGCTGAGGGCAGGTGCAAAGTTGCCAGAGCCCAACCAGCAGTGTTTGGGGAGCAGAGGGGCCCACGAAGTATTCATGGAATGACGCCACTGAAACATTCAACAAACAAACGTTCTCTGTTCAGATCTAGCACTTGCTTAGAAGCCTGCAGGTGATAATGTGGCTGCTCACACAGGACTCTCCCTTCCAGGACAGGATTTGTTGATGTGAGCATTTGCCCTTTTGAATTATGTGTGTTCTGATCTCATTCTGGGTGAGTGCTAAGTGTGGACCGACCTCTAAGACAGGCAATCTCAGGGCTGAAGGAGCAGCCTGAGAGGCCAGGTCACACCCTGGCTGGGCAAGGTGGTGCGCCTAAGTCAGCCAGTCCGCCTCGAGGGCACCAGAACCTTCTGTGGATATTCCTATTGACCTATTGTGAAAAACACTGCGTCGCCACCTATATGAAAGTCATAGTCAAGTGCAGCAGTTTTCAAAGCATGGTCTGGGAACCTCCCTTTTGGTGGGTATCTGTGAAGTCAAAATTATTTTTGCTGTAACATGAAGCTGTCATTTGCTGTATTCCTTTCACGTTCACACAGGGGTACAGAGGTGATGTGGCGTGACATCATGACAGGCTAAGCTGCGAGGCTGCAAAAACATAAAATGATACCCTTTCCTTGCTAATTCACCTTCTTTTTGAAAATAATCATAAAAGCATGTTATAATGAGCTTATTAAGTTTCTTGGTTTTAATTTCTAGTATAGACAGCCCCTGAATTACGATGATTGACAACACTTTTCTGGCTTTATGATACTGTAGCCATGGCAGGTATTTGTGAGAAACAGTCCTCCAGGATGTAGTAAATACATTTCACGGACAGTCGACACTTCACTAGGAAAGTCTTTGTGCTAGATTTTTGTCCCATGGCAGACTACTCCGAGTGTCCTGAGCAGGTGGAAGGTAGGCTTGGCTTGCTACAATGTTTGGAAGGTGAGATGCAGTAAACACATTTTCAATGTGTGATATTCTCAAACTGATGCTGGGTTTATTGGGATGTAGCCCCACTGTAAGCCGAGGAGTACCTGTATAATAGCTATAAGAGTATTAAGGGGTCCCAAGCCAAACAGTTTGAGGACTGTGGTTCCAGTGACTCCAGATAGGCTAGCAAAGGGTCCTCTACAGTCCTGAGCTTCCAAGGGTTCCCTAAGCCAGGCTCCCATGGAGACAAGCAGCTTCTCCTGGATAGTTTTTCTTTTGAGTCGGAGTCTCACTCTGTCGCCCAGGCTGGAGGGCAGTGGCATGATCACAGCTACTACAGCCTCAACCTCCTGGGCTCAGGTGATCCTTCTGCCTCAGCCTTCCAAGTAGCTGGGACTACAGGTGTACACCACCACACCTGGCTATTTTTAAAATTTTTTTGTAGAGATGAGGTCTCGCCAAGTTGTCCAGGCTGTTGTCGGCCTCCTGGGCTCAAGTAAACCTCTTGCCTTGGCCTCTTCAGTAGCTGGGACTACAGGCATGTGCCACCATGCCCTACTATTGTTTTTTATAGAGAAGGATCTTGCTATGTTGCCGAGGCCGGTCTTGAACTTCCGGACTCAACTGATCCCCCTTCCTTGGCCTCCCAAAGTGCTGAGATCATAGGCATGCACCACCAGCCCTGTCTAATTTTTTTATTTTTGTAGAGACGAGGTCTCGATTTGTTTCCCAGGCTGGTCTTGAACTCCTGGGCTCAAGCAACCCTCCTGACTCAGTCTTGTGTTGCTGGGATCCCAGGCGTGAGCCATGTGCCCAGCCTGCTTGTCTCTCCTAGGGTGCAACCCCTCATGGCTTCCCTCCACCACGTCTCACCTTTACTTCCATACAGCTCTGGAGGCAGGTCATATGGCACAGGAAAGGTGGCTGTCGGCTCCCGGCTGCCAGAGAAGAACTTCTCTTTCACTTTGAAACTGTCTAGGCCCTGTGGACACACAGAGGAAATCTGTCATGAGACTCTTTTCTAGAAAAAAACCTAGAACATCCCAAGAAGTAATCGTAACTTTATGGTACTCACAACAAAATCCAAGTTATTTCAGAGCTATTTTCAGTGTTCATTGGTAAATATATTTACAACCCACCCAAATTATTTTTCTTTCTAAAAATGTGTTTTAAATTTCAGGAATAAAATTATAACAAAGTTTGCAAAAGTTTAACAAAAGATATAAACAAACAAGAGGAACAATGTTGGATGTGACAGTTCCTTTCTTTTTTATTTTTTTGCTTTTTATTTTTTGAGTTGGAGTCTCACTCTGTCGCCTAGGCTGGAATACAATGGTACACTCATGGTCACCACTGCCTGGACCTGCTGGGCTCAGGCAATCCTTTCGCCTCAGACTTCCAAGTAGCTGGAATTACAGGTGTGCGCCACCACACCTGGCTAATTATTTTGATTTATTGTAGAGACGAGGTCTTGCCAAGTTGCCCAGGCTGGTCTCAAACCCCTGAGCTCAGGCAATCCTCTCGCCTCGGTCTCCTAAAGTGCTGGGATTACAGGCTTGAGCCACTGCACCCGGTCATGACAGTCCCTTTCAACCACATACTATCTATAGTTTGCAGGGAGCTTGTGGAACTCACTAAAAATAACTCAAAAATACTTTTAACATTGCTATAGTAACAGGCTGCCTGCTCTGGGTAAGAAGAAAAAAAAGTTGCTTTCATGTTATAATGAGAGTGCTCCAGTGTAATGTGACAGAAATATAAAAATACAAAATCTTCAAGACCTGCCAAGATGGAAAGTTTATTCCCAGAATGCCAAGATAGGGTGTTAACTTTAGACCTTCATCAGGGTGGAAGCTGAGGGTCTATTTCCAGGTTGTTGCGCACAAGCCATTTCCTTCCAACACAGAGTCAGCCTCAGCACAGGTACCCGACACATTAGTGCTATCCCCTCCTGTGTATCCACACATGCCCACTTCTGTCCCTTCCGGATCATCCTGCACACTGTTAGTCTGTCCATCTGTCTTTCATTCCTGTTTACCCATCTAAACACATCCCCACATCCCCAACAGTGCTAATGTCTTGACCCAAAGAAAGAAGACTAAGGTTCTCTGTCTTTGTGGTCACGTGTCTTAGCTAGGAAAGGCTGGCCAGGGGCACAGTGTCCGAGGACACAGTAGAGATGCATTGGCTGAGGCTTTAGACATTCTGGGTTCCAGCCTTGGCTCTGGCCTATTGAGCTGGGTGAATGGCTGGCCCACAGAGTATTCCAAGAAATAAACTAGTGCAACCATAACGTACAGGGGGACCCCTAAAAACCCAGAATCATCTTTTCGAGGGTGGGCCCTTGTAGTACAGGCTTCCCCCACTAGGTGGGTGTTCTAGGAACCCTTCAGCATCAGTGAACCAGTTTGCATTGTTGGGAGAGGCAACGTTTGGCTTTAGTGATTCTTGTGATAAACAGGTGACTGGTTCTTCCACCATGACAACGTACCTGCCTACAACATGCTGGGTATTCAGCAGTTTTTGATAAAAAGTGGCTTGACTCCCATGTGCTACCTTCCCTTTTCACTCTATCTCACCCAGATCAACATTTTCTTGTTTCCTTGACTGAAAAAAGTTCTCAAAGGGAAACATTTTGTTGATGTGGAAGAGCTGAAACACAAAATGGCAGAAGCACTAAAAAGTTTTAAAATGTATGGTTCAAAAACTGTTTTAGCAGTGAAAAAAGCATTTCAATAGGTGTATTGCATCCAACGGAGAGTACTTTGAAGGAGGCTGAAGCTTAAACATGGAAGAATAAAGATATTTTTTTATAAATAAATTCTGGGTTCTTTTGGTTTCCCCTGTATATTCAGGGTACTCTCTGTGATGTTATTACTCTTGTTTTACAGAGGAGAAAGCAGCTGCCTAAGGCCACAGAGCTGGACCACGAGCCCTGCTACACTTTGTGACATCCGACCTCAGATATAAGAAGGTTTGAGCTGTCCTTGTCTGACAGGCACCAATGTGCTTCTCCTCCCGCCAATCCAAATTCTAGAGTATGACCAAAAACAAAAACAAAAAAACACCACTTTTCCCTTCAATCTGATGTCAACTCTTGTAGGGCTGTCTTCTAATTATCATGATTTATAACTCCCAGCGCACCTGGCATTAACAAAACAGAGGAAGGCACCCCGCAGGCACGGATACTTAAGGCTCCAATCCCAGGCCTATGCAACGCTGACAGAGTACATTGCTCAGTAAACACCAAAGCAAAGGAGCTCAAGGAGGAACACTTGCACCTCACAGAACACTTGATCTTTGAAACCATCAGACCTTTCCTATACTGAGATTTTTATGAACCTTAATGAGCTAGCCTAATTTAAAAGTTAAATACACCTCAAGTAAACAGACAACCCATCAAACATTATGTAACTGACAAGTTATTACACCTCAAGAGAACAAACTCTTCAACTTAAATGAACACATTTTTATTCGGCACCTAATAGATACCAAGCATCACCAAGCGCCGGGCACGCAAAGTCAATGTGTTGACGTTCATCTCCAGAGCTCCTGAAGTGTTCTCAAAGGAACAGCCATTGATAATGTGCTCTAACTACAATTAGGTTGCTCTCAAAAGGACATGGTTCCGGATTCATTCACTTAAAAGAACCAGAAAACATGGGGACATACAGTATCAGGGACTTATGAGGCTCCTGATTGAGCCTGGAGGTCTCAAGTGGCATCTTTATGATGCTCCACCCACTGTGGTGTTTAGGCCACAGAAGTGTCATCTCATGTAGCCCCCTGGATGCTGAGTGACAGGCCCTGATTGTGGCTATGAGAACATAGGGAACTGCACAGTCCCTTCTCTGGATGGTCCCTTCTCAGGGATGGCCTCTGTGGAATGTGACACCATGCTGTTCTAGGCACTGAACCCTATGGCTTGCAGCACTGGCCACATCAGCCTTCCAGAACACTGTGCTGACTGATGAGAGACAAAAGTAACCCCTCTGGCTGCTGATAACACAGACACGTGGGTGGCACAGACATGGAGTTCTGCCCAAGGCTGGACGCAGGCTGATCCCAAGGAATTGAGTTCTGGATGCCAGTCTGAAGGGTGACCACCAAGCGGAGCAGGAAGTCAGTTTACCTGGCAAGTATGCAACTGAAAGTGCTAGAGGGTGTGTCTTGATGGGAAGGAGGAGGAAAGCTAAAAAATAAATTGACATCTGGCTTCATTTTATGGCAAATTTGGCTCCTGTCAGTAAACAGTTTAAGGTTATGATTGCCACAGAAATCTTTTAGACATTATAATGACCACATAGGAACTGGCATTTGTTAGTGCTGCAGTAGGCTCTGGAGAAAGAGAACGATAAAGAGAGAGAGAAAGAGGGAGAGGGAGAGAGGGAGGAAGAGAGGGAGGGAGAGAGGGAGGGAGAGAGGGAGGGAGAGAGGGAGGAAGAGTGTGAGTGTGAGTGTGAGTGTGTGTGTGTGTGTGTGTATGTGTGTGTGTGTATGTTAACAAGGCAGCTATGGGCAAGCTGTTATATCAAGTTGCTCCCAACATGGCTTGCGAACATATTTGGTGGCTACTGCATACAGCACTCACTGGGCCACATACACCCAGCCTCCAAGGACACTCTTCCCATTTTTCCCAAAATGTTCAGGACAGAGCAATGTGAACTCCAGGAACTTAAAGGACATATCAGCTAGAGACGTGACGAGCCTCCCACAGGACATTCGGGAAGTGGTTCCATCTGGGCAAGGAGGCACACAAGTCAACGATCATAGCACAGGACTATGTGAAGAGCCCTGAGCTCCAGAATTGTGGGAGGCGTGGGGATTTGGGGAATGCCTGGGTGGGGATGTCAGGTGCTGCTCCCAGCATAGATGAGGGTCGGCTAGAGGGTGGATCTGGCCGGTCGTGAGAGCCGGGAGTTCTCCATGGTTGGAGCAGTGTATATCAGGAGTGAGAGGCCAGGGTGAGGCCTGGATAGTCAGAAGGCAGAATGCAAAGGGCACAGGACACCATGCCAAGGGGTCTGGCATCTCCCTTCAGGGCTTGCATGGTGGGCTGGATGTACGGTCTACAAAGCCCATCCTGGCAGCAGGCTGAGGCTGACGTGGACGTGGCCCAGGTAGGTGAGGTGGTGGCCACGGAGTAACAGTTGATGTCTCAGCATGCATTGTTGTGGGGTGGCCAGAGGGAACAGAGGATCAAGCAGCCACTGGAGTTAGAAATGACGAAACTTGGCTGTTAAGCAGATATGGGGGTGAAGTTGCCAAGGGTGATCTCCATGCCTGAACCAGGACCATGGAGTGAATGGTAACAGGAGCTCAGTAGTGATCAGATTTGCAAGTGAAGCTTCATCTGTACTACAGCAGCTCCCCATCACTTGCATTACCACCTGAGCTCAACCTCCTGTCAGATCAGTGGCAGCATTAGATTATCATAGAACAGTGAACCCTATTGTGAACTGCACATGTGAGGGATATAGGTTGCATTCTTCCTATGAGAATCTAATGCCTGATGATCTGAGGTGGAGCTGAGGTGGCGATGCTAGTACTGGGAAGTGGCTGCAAATAGATTATCATGAGCAGTGAGGCTGGACTGCACATTGCCCCCTCCTGTTGGGTCTGTGGAAAAACCGTCTTCCGCAAAACCAGTCCCTGATGCCAAAAGGGTGGGAACCACAGCTCCAGAGGACCTGGAAGGGCAGTATTTTCTATTACATACACTTTCATGATCAAGGGTCAGAGAACAGCTACAAACAACTAGATTTGCAAATGCTGACCACAAAAGCCAAGCAAAAATAACACAGTTTTCCCCTTCACCTGAGTTATTACTGGGAGATAACACCAGCTTTGACTTAAAGCCATAGTTACCACAATGACACCAAACTACTGAACACTGTTATTCTGGCATTGTGACTTCACTGCTTTCTAGAAGCTGTGAAGAAGCTGAACGATCTCAGGAGGGACCTGTGAGGAGACTGAGTGCTAGGGCTGGACCCCTCTCTCTGGCTGTGGAACCTCATCTACAAAACAGGTGGCCTCTACCCCACAGGGCGGTATAGCTAGAACCATTAGCTGTAAGCAGCATGGGAGTCTGCTTTGCTTTACTCTGTAGGAGAGAAAAACTGAGCTGACATCTTAAGATACTCCTGACCAGAAGCCTGTTGCAGCTCTGTAGTAAAAGTCCGAGATGGAGAGAAGACTGGCAGGAGGAGACGGAAGGAGGGGCTCTTCACCCGAGTACAGAGGAGAAAGACACCAGCAGTAATGGGTGGGCTGGGAGGGAAGGTGCTCTTGGGAGGGCCAGCACCCACAATCATGTATCTTGCAGGTCTAGACTTAGGTCCGGGGACAGCATGCAGCATCCCCCCAGCTAGATCTTCCAGTCCAGTCGAGGGGCTCGCAATGGCACTGTCATGGTGTTTACTACAGACCCAACTCCGGCCAGTGATAAAAGGAAAAGGAAGAAAGTGAATCGCTGTCTCCTTGTGTGGACAATTGTGACTCTAGAGTCTGGGGAGGCAGATGGCTCACACAGCCCGGTCCCCACATGCAAGCCAGCTGTTGCATCTGCCATTCTGTTACAGGAACCCTGAGCTGCTCAAAAGCTATGAAGGAAGTCCCGAGACTGATTCTGTCATGGCACCTCTCCAGGGGCTTGCAGGGCCCGAAGTCATATCCTCTGGGACCTCTGAACTCCGGTTGGTGGCATGAGCCTCCTTGCCTCCCGGTGTGTGCTCCTGCCAATTTCCTTCTAGGTGTCATGGAGGCCCTACCCCATCCCAGCACCCTGAACCTCAGCATCCTTCTAACACCCACCAAGCTCTCCTGCTTCCCAAGTGCATCTCCAATCACCCCTAAACCTCTCCTGCTTGGCTGGCACTCTTCGGGTGTCCTGTCCCTTACCATCTGGTAAATATTCAGATCATGGCCCACAATACTGATGTAAATACTGTTATTAGCTCCACCTGAGGCATGTGGTCAGTTTCTAACAAGCTCACACCCTGAGAGCAGGCTCCTGCTGCACCCAGGCCAGGGAGGGTGCACTCAGTTCCTGAGCACAGACCTGTGGCTCAGAGCACAGTGAGAACCCTGACAGTTACCTGCTGGCCTTGGGCAGGGCAGTGACTAAAGGGAGAACACAGACCTGACTTGTGCCGAACATACCCACTGGGCCACTGGGCAGCTGGAGTGTGAACTTACAAATGCTGATGGCAGGAACAGGACTCCGAGCTCATAGGAGCGGATCATCAGCTGGGTGCCATTCTTCTCCAGCGCCCCCCAGGCAGCCTTGGACAGGTTTGCACTGCAGGGACAAGGACACAGAGGGGCTGACTCAGTGGGGCATCTCCATGCGGGCCAGACCATAGCCGCCAGAGCACCAGTTCAGAAATAGACAATCACAATCATGTTCCTTCAGGTTCTGGCAGAATGGTGGCACTTTTGAAAAGGGAATTTAAATCCTGCTGTTCTAGAACCCTCAAGATTTATCTAATTGTTAATCTGGGATAGCTTCACTCTCATCTACATTTTCCTAGGGCAGCATTAAAATACTTTCTCCTCAAATTTTTTTTCCTATAATTTTTTCTTTTCATGATCCTGGTGTAACCAGGATTTCTGGGTTTTGTTGTACATAAAAGCAACACTTAAGAAAAAGACTATATTAATATTATCTTATATAGTGGTATCTTAAGCTTCATATTTTTTTTTCCCTTTTCTTTTCTTTTTTTGCCAGGTAGGGCTAATTTCTACTTTTAATCTAAAGAAGATTAAGATCTAAGAGCACTAGATAGGCATTTGTATCCAGAAAGAAACTGTGAGTCTAGAATCGTGTTTTTATGTTCAAAATTTGTGGGAAAACAAACCAACCAACCACACAATGTAGTAGGAGGAAGGAGACTCGGTATTGACCACACGGGAAGCCACATGGAAGGCCCAAGAGGCAGGGTGGAACATGCAGCGTGAACATGACCAGACGTCAAGATGACGCTCCCCCTTACGGCAGACACAGCATAGAATGCCCACCTAGCGATCAACTAAACTCACCACAGACATTTCCTCAATGCAGCACACCCAAGTTCTAGTATGTTTAAAGTGTATAAACCCCAGGTACCCAGACCCGTGAAGTCTGACTTCATGGATGCTGAATGCTTCAAGGCTCACTTCCTGGTGCTCTGAGTGTTTTTCTGAGCTGTGTGCTGGAGTTTCTGTCTGCTGAATTGCAGAGTAGAACAGAACAAGCATCAAGGAAGACGAAAGCAGGATCCTGGGACAGGGAACCTCTGATGCACAAGGGTCGCAATAACAACCGCTGTTGCCCATGGCAGGTTGTAGAGATGTTAAATGCAGAGGAAGCCGGGCATTATGACACAATGGTGTTATGACTATAGGAAGAGCATTTTCATTGAAAGTCCAAGATGACAGCTTGTTTCTAGGTCTCTCACCTGTTAGTAAAGAAAGGTGCCTCTCCTCCCAGCAAAGACGATGGTCTGATCTAACAGGATAACAAGTCAGTGTGAATGGAGAGAGTCTTTTACAGAAACATCTCCCACTTTCTAGATCACCCTCTTCTGGGTAACTTCCTACTCTCAGAATCCAAACATTGCAGGCAGGGTTGCCTTCTGGAAGGCTGCCCTCACTGGTCGTGTCTTCTTGACAGTCCAGGACTCGAGGGCTTATTGTAAAGTAAAGCTCAGGAGACCAAGAGGACTCCCTTTCTTATGTTCTCCTCCCACCACTCCTCTGTGCCGGCTGCTCACCAGCTTCCAAGCACCCAGAGCTGTAAAACTGCCCTGATGCTGAGAGACTGCAGGTCACGTGCAGGATCTCCTGGTGACAGGTGGGCACTCCTGGAGACGCAACTTCAGGAATGTTGACATTCTGGCATTCTGGCTCAAGGGTGCCTGGACTTCCAGGAGGATGGGTACATGTGACTATCTCCCAACTCTTAGACCCCTGCTCCATGTATGTGGTATGTGTGTGTGTACACGTGTGGGTGTGGTGCGTGGGTGTGGCTGTGTGGTACATGTGTGTGGTGTACACAGTGTCTACAACTAAAGCCCCCGTACCTTCCTGAGGTGCAGTGACACCACACGGCACTCTGCTCCAGGCCTCAGGAGGGTACTGGCTCCTGAGCTGCTGAGTGGGGCCATGTCTGCTGCCAGTCTGGGTTGTATCACGGCTTACACCCACTGTCCAGTCCTCGTTCTTCCATATTCTTCCATCTCTGGGGCTGGGCTGGTTTAGTACTCTACACTGTGGCTTACTTTGCCATTACTGGATACCAAGTGACGCTTCATCACCATGGATGGGCATTTAACCGACCTGGACCTCAGAGTACGATTCCACAGTCCAAAAACTGCCCAAGCCACTGATGAAGGAATGACAACTCAACAGTGGCTTCTGGGGATAGAGGTATGCCGGTCAGTGTGTGGTCACAGAAACTGTGCTAGGAGATTACATACATATGTAACATGGATGCTTTACAGGAACCCAACATCATGGGATGGTGGTGTCTTCTTCACCAGACTGGCATCTCTGCCCTGATGCTAGTACTTGAAGTCCATAGGGCAGACAGCAGCAGGAGGACACATATGACATGGAGAGCAACAGCCAGAGTCACTCACACATGCCAGAGCCTGGGAGGATATGCATGAGGTGGAGAAACACAGCCACAGCCACCTGCACGTATCAGAACCTGGGAGGACAGAAACCCAAGACAGCCTCAAGCTCTGGTGTATAGGCCTTGTTCTCAGGGTAGGATAGACACACTTGGCGAGGCCTAGGAGTCAGAGGTGCTGAAGGAGGGCTGGGTAGGGCGCAAGGCCCAGCTGCTGCTCATGCCAGCACGAGGTGACCCGCATATGGGTTACCAGAATGGCGGCAACTCGATATGTGCCCCCCAGTGTCCTGTGAGCACCTCTCAGGGCCCAAACTATTCAGAAGCACACGAGAAGGGGAACCATGCGAGATGCAGCTCTGCTTCCCACTGATCCATCAGCAGTACCATGGCCTGAACTCTGTGCCTCACAACTCATGTGACATACAGGGGAGGTGACTAAGTCATGAGGATGGACAACCTCTGCCCTGGGTGGGGCTGGTGACCTCATGGAGGAGACCTCAGACTGCCTTGTCCTCTGCCTCGTGAGGCTCCACAAGAGTCAGCAGCCTGTAGCCTGCAGCCCAGACACGGCCCTCACCAGCGCCCACCACATGGCACGACTCTGAGCTATCAGCCCTGGATCTAGGAGAAGCAAGTCCCTGTTGCTGACCTGGAGCACCCGGAGACCAGCAGGCTGTCAGCACAGGGCACAGGCCATCCCAGCTAAGCTGTGACAGACAGTTGTTCAATTCAGCAGCTCCCCCCACCCCCTCCCGGTCAATGAGGGGTGCCCACTGCAGTCTGCAGGGGTGGCTGCCAACTACAGGTCTGATCTCAGGACAGATTCTGTCCTGAAGTTTAAGTCTTTGAGCATAAACTTGATAACGTACGACAAAAAGTCCAAGGGAATTCTTGAGAGAGCAAGGGACTGCACATAAATTCATAGAGAAGGCAGGCGAGTGCTTAGGAAAGAGCCCTGGTCCAGATGGAGAGAGGAGGTATCTGTCTTGGCGCCCCCTACTAACTGCAACTCCTAAAGCCATTCCCCTTCTCCCTGGGCCTTGGGGTCCTGTCTAGAATGAGGGCTGTTTGCCTATCAGACCAGCAATCCCTCTCCAGGCAAGGGTCTACAATGTCAGAAACACTGTGTTCCCACAGACTGGAGAGCAGCCCTGTGACCATAAGCTCTCATCTCAGAGACAGAAGCCTGGTCTCACTGGTGCTGAGACCATGAGCACTCGCTGGAAATCATGTAGCACCTGGGAGATGCCATGCTGGAAGGAGGCTGCGAGTCAGTTTCTGGGCCGGATCCCGTGCCAGGCACCTATCAAGGTCTAGCTCTGGTAGTCCCACAGCTACTGGAACCAGTGCCCACTGGAACACTGGGAGAGGGGCTGACCGGATTTGCTTGTAGGTTTTTGTTGGAAAACGTCTGAGTCCCTGAGGACAACGGCTGCTATGGGAACGTGTGTCCACTGACAAGGTATTTCCTTTCATCATTCATTACTGACAGTCTAGGCAGCAGCTGCACCAAGAAGACAGATATGACTCGCAGAATGAAGCTTTGGTCCCACACTCTTAGAGGACTGGGGGTGGGGACAGACATGTTCACAGACAGATGTGATAACACAGAATGTTAACAGAGAATGTGGGTGAGGTGTAGGCCTGGCAGCCATGGACAAGGGAAAACGATGACTCCTGCCATTACCCCTTGCCCCAAACTGCATAAGAGTGTACCTGACACACACACATGCACCATGCCACATGCATGCACACCTGCCACATGCACATGGGCTATGATACATACATGTGCACGGTACTATACACACACACACCTATCACACATGTGCACCGTGCCACATGCACGCACACCTGCCACATGCACATGGGCTGTGCTACAAGCACACAGGCCATGCCACATACGCACATTGCAAGTTCATGTCCATGGTGCATTCACTGCAGGTGTTCTTGTATCGCCCCAGGCTCTGTTGTGTGGACTGAAAAAGTTTCATGAGTTATATGGAAAGATTCTCTCACAGTAGACGAGTCAAGTTGTACACAGGTGCTCACAAGGACAGCATCTTTAATTCTGAAAGATCTGATCAGGTTTTCCTATAACCCACCTTCCCTATGTAGATGACCAGACACAGCACATAAAGGTGCTCTGTTCTTGGACCCTTGATAACACAGCATGGACAGTATCAATGAACATTTTTGCAAATCTAATAGGCTCTATCGCTCTTAAATTTGATTTCTCAGGCTGGGCATGGAGGCTCATGCCTGTAATCCCAGCATTTGATGGCGGAGGTGAGAGGATTGTCTGACCCCAGGGGTTCGAGACCAGCCTGGGTAACCTGGCGAGACCTTGTCTCTAGAATAAATTTTAAAAAATAGCCAGGTGTGGTAGTGTGCGCCTGTAGTTCCAGCTACTTGGAAGGTTGAGGCGGAAGGATCACCTGAGCACAGTGGGCTGAGGCTGTGGTGGCCGTGAATGTGCCACTGCACACCAGCCTAGGACAGAGTGAGATTCTGACTCAAAAAAAAAGTTAATTTCTCTGATTACTAGTGGTGTTCAGTATTTTTAACAATATACACCAGACATTTATGCTTAATTCTGTGTGTTATCCATTTTTAAAATGTTATCTGTCAGTCAAGTGCAGTGGCTCATGCCTGTATTCACAGCACTTTGGGAGGTAGAGGTGAGA